ATATCTGGATGGATGATGCACTCTCCAGTCTTTTTAAGAATATTAACGGTCTTTAATCCATCAAAGGTTTACAGGTTGTTTGATCAACATTTCGACCCATTCGGGTCTTCCTCAAGATCCTGAGGAAGACCCGAACGGGTCGAAACGTTGATCAAACAACCTGTAAACCTTTGATGGATTAAAGACCGTTATTATATTCTTAAAAAGACCGGAGAGTGCCTCTTTCTTCAATATAATTATTTATCAGCATAAGATTGTACCAGGGCACTTTACTATTCATTACATCAGGAAGGGTGAGTGCTATTATTTGTGAGAAAATATATATATATATATATATATATATATAAAATATTATTTTATTTTTGTGCGAGGTCTTGATGACCAACTTTGGCTTTGCACTTATGTCGACCCTGATATTCACAGGTATTTTCTTTCTGTATTTTAGCACAAGTTTGAAGGAAAAATGGCATATATGGATCATGGTGAGGAACCCTATTACCTTCCTGTCTCCGAAGAAGCTGATATCCGAGAAGATGACAATGTTGCATTCATCAGTGTTCCAGTGCCAAGTTTTGAGGAAGGAGATTCAGCAGCAATCGTTCACGATTTTGACAGAGTAAGTTGAGTTTAAACGTTTACCATCCCCGTTGGTGCCAGAGGAGTGTGAAATATTATGTAACTGTGTTGCCCTTGTGAAAGCACCACATTTGCTAGATGTTTATAAGGGCTTATAGTTTGGGGAACTCAACAGCTTTGACTTTGCATCTTAATCTTAAATCAATTAACTCTAATCTTTAATATGCAGCAGCTGCCTATCTTTCAAGGGTGTCTGTTTAATCCATTTGTGCATCTTCCTTTCTGTATGCTGCTCCTTTCGTAGTCATTGCAGATAACATTTGTCTTCTGGAGTTTAATAACAGTCTGTGTAAAACTTGTGTTAACTTGAATAAGCTTTAAAGTGGAAACCAGTGAGGGAGTTTAGAATACATGTTTATGCATATCACATGGAGCCATCAGGTAAGAAGGTAGAAAAAGCCTGCAGGAACTGGGAGCCCCTCACCCATTGTTATATTATGTGCTGCTTCTTAGAGCTGTGCTTCCTCTAAATACCAGACGGCTCTGCTTGTAGCTGCTTATGACAGGAGTAGTTCACACGCCTTTGTACTTTTTCAAATGTATTGATTAATTTTTAGGTCTTGCTAGTACATTTACATGATCACACAAATCATGTCATAATCAGGAACTGTAGGTGAATCTTGTATAAACCAATATTCATTCTGTTACCTTTTGTCCTTTTAGCTCCTGACTGCATACTTAGACCTGGAGCTGCAGAAATGTTATGTGATTGATTTGAACACCTCTGTAGTTTTGCCTCCACGAAACCTAATGGATCTCTTCATGAAACTAGCTGTATGTATTTTTTTTTTTTTCTTTAATCAAAATATTTATCTGCAAAATGTAATGAACCTGTTATTAGAGGGAAACAGACTCCCTGGGATTATTCCTCTTTCTTTGTCCTCTACAATTAACAGATGTGCATTGTGAGATCTGAAATATGTTAAATGTAGACATTCAAAGAGGTGGCATGTGATGTTTCTGTTTCTAAGTTGTGGTTGAAAAACAGTGTTTTAATGTAAAAAAAAAAAAAAAGTCCACGGTTTCTTTTGCCTTGTTATCTCTCCACTAAATTATTTAATCTATATATTTTCACGAAGAATTGGGCTTTACATAAATTTAAGACCGGGTCAGTTTTAATCCTTTGAAGAACAGAGTCTGATAATATTCTGGTGCATATTCTTTCCCCCATCCCAGACATTGTGTACTTTCGTAGCTTTCTGTGAGAGCCTGTAATGCAGCTGTCCTGCAGAGCTACAAATGACTATTGAGTTGTGAAATAATCTGGGGCTTATTCTCTTAAATGTTGTTGTATACTGCTGTGGTGTTATCTTAAAGACTGGTTTTCTTTCATGTTGGGATGATCCCATTAGAACATTGTTTTGCTTCAAGCATTCCATAATGCCTCTTATTGTTTGGTATTGGTAACTGCCTGGTGTACAGTTTTATTTACCCATGCAATCTCTATGGCCCTGAAGCTTTAGTCTGGGCTAAACTCTTATTATGGAGAAACCGTGCGGGTTCCTTTCTATTACTCTGTAAATCTGTCTTCCTTAGAGCTCTCCTAGCTTCAGTAGTAAGTGTATGTGTGTCTATCTCTTGGCTGTAAATAAAATGGATTTTTTTTAAATGACACCATCCCTGTAATGTAACTTATTGTAACACAAAACATTGCTGTATTAGAGGGACAATGCAATTTACAATTACAACGGTTCTTGTTAAATTTCATGATCCTCCGTTTTTAGATTTTATGGCGTCCTTTTATTCAGCAAATCATTACTACTTTGTGCAGCTAATTTAATAAACCTTATCTGATGTGTAATTTAATGCCCGTTTAAATATCTAGTAAAATGTTTATTTGAAAACCGTTTTTTCCTGCACTCTGTAGTGTGTTTATTATATAAATTGAATTATTCCTGTTTTCTCAGAGTGGAGCCTACCTGCCGCAGACCTACCTGGTTCGTGAAGAGCTGGTAGTGACAGAGCGAATTGATGACGTAGCTGATTTGGGAATCTTCATTTATCAGCACTGTATTGGGAAAGAGACTTACAGGCTTCAAAGGAGAGATCAAATTATTGGTAAGGTTATCCTGTCTTGTGTTTATTTGCACCATGTAAACTGATACATTCTCCTTACTTCTCCATATTTACCATTTAGTGTATGTTAACAATTTGTATTCTAGTCCTGCATGGTGTTTAAAGATACCTCCAACGCTAGCAATAAAAACCAAAATAGTGAAATATAGTTTTAATCATCTTGAATCGCAAGCTCCTCCCTTGGCTGAGGTTACACAAGCAAATACTGAGAATGGGCAACATCTCTATTGGCATATCGATCACTTTTTTTTTCCACAAATACGCTAACCAGATTTGTAACTGTTTTGCAGGTCTGCAGAAGCGATCTGCTGAAAATTGCGCCAGCTTTAAACACTTTGAGAATACGTTTGTGGTCGAAACCAGGATCTGCAAGTAGCCCCAAGAGCAACATGATTTCACAGAATCACCAAGAAGTCCCACTTTTCCTGACTTCTCGAGTAAAATGTGCAGTGATAATCAAAGCATTTTTTGTAATGCATTGCTGTGTGCTCCCGCTTTTAGCTTATTTTTATGGCCCAGAAATATAACCATACCAGGGACGTTAACTTTGTTGACGGCACCTGTGAACAAATTGTCACCGCTCCAATCAGAATTGTAAAAACAGTTTGGTTATTAAGTGGTGGATGCAATAAAAGTAGATTTGTGTGGGGGGTTTTTTTTTCTGTTTTTTTTGTTTCTCTTTTGCACAGTTTAGTTTTAACTATAATTCTATGGGTATTGGGGTTGTTGAAATTCCTATCTTGATTCGCCGCATGTTATCAGTGCGCTACTACTTTATGGAATATATATGTATATTTGCAGATTATCCTAACATTGTAAGTTTGTTTTTACAGTTTACTTCACTAGCTCAGTAACCTTGCAATCTAGTTTGTTAACCCGTTCCTCAGTTTCTTAAACTGCAGGGCTGCTTCTGTGAATATACAGCAACAGAAAATTCTAGGTGTGCCACTGAAGTGCTCAAGCATGTGCGCGTGTGTGTAACATTAAGTTGAAGAACTGACTTTGAGATATAATTTGTTATAGAGTTTGTGTATTTTTCTTTAAGGATTAGACTGCCCTCGTATCAGATTTATCACTGTACATTTCTAACTAAATGTAGGAAAGCAATGTCTGAACTTTGCATTGCAGCATCTTGTGAGATCCATTCCTGTAATCCTTGAGACGTAGCTTACAAAATTCTGCAGTATCAAACATGGACAGCCTTATTATAGAAGAACTGGTGCAATAGCAGGATATTGAAAGATTGAAATGTTCACAGAATATTTCTAAACTTAATTTAATATTATAGCTCTGTGACTTTGGTCATGCTAATGAGCCATATTGCTGGTTTTCTGGACGTAAAAACAGAAACAAATATAGGTCATATGTAAAATGCCAAGTAATTGTTTCTGCCTACTGGCTCAAATTTTTACTGATCTATTAAACACCCAAATGTTGCACACTGAAGACTAGTAGTTACACTTGGTAAAGAGGTAATATAGTCGATCTTAACTCCGCCTCATTGTAGTATATTGTGTAACAGAACGTGCTGTTGTGCAGGCCCATCATAGTTATAGCATTGAGAATTGCTTAATGGCAATAAAACCTTAAATCAGCCAACCTCAAAATGATATCTTTCTAATTGTCTAGAGGTATGAATCTGCCACCGCAAGTATCTGTTTTTTGTTTTGTTTAAAGGTTTTCATAGTCACTATATTACTGTCACTGTTGACGTCTTTTAAATAAAGTTAAGCTGTGAGACAGCTGTTTTCTAAGATATTGGAATATATGGAAAATTCTGTAAGACAAGCTTTATGTAACACAAGGAAAAAAACAATTAAATCTTATTCCACACCCTGGTTCTTTCTCATAATATTTTGTTGCTGTGGGTTTGAGTGTTAATTTAACCCCTTAACATGTTTTAAAATAAAGTGTATGTGTGTCTGTCTGTCGTTCTGCCAGCAGAGGGGGACTGTCTGAAATGTCAGTCCCCCTGCTGGTGGATAGTGGTAAAAAAAAGAGCGAGCGCGCCAGCAGAGGGGGACTCTGAAATGTCAGACAGTCCCCCTGCTGGTGGATAGTGGTGTAAAAAATAATAATAATAATTATTAAACATGTTTTAAAATAAAGTGTGTGTGGATATAGCTAACTGTGGATCTGCCAGCAGAGGGGGGACTGTCTGAAATGTCAGACAGTCCTCCTGCTGCTGAATAGTGGTAAAAATAAATTATTAAACACGTTTTAAAATAAAGTGTGTGTGTGTATATAAAAAAAAAAATTAAATTTTATTTATTTTGCTAAATGAAGATTGTATTTAAGTGTCTCTCTGTCTTGCTAATGGATTGAGCCTTATGTAAACTGGCTGATGGATCTAGTATTGCACTTTATTGTATTTGCTGACTGCCCATTGTTGCATTACATCTGGGTATCTACTCCCCTTAGCTGGAAACTAAAGCTCAAATGCTCTTTCCTGCTAATGGTTAATATGCTAAGCACAATCATTGGCCATTACTTCTCTGGGTCTAAACTTGTCTAAAGGTTGTTACATGCTAATGCTAATTTATCTCTGAAGGTACGAACTTATCACCTTCTTCTATAATGTGAGTTGGTCTCAGAGCAATCCTAACTTGGATTGAATAAGCATGGTATTATCTACTTTTGAGATGTACACTGTGAATCCCTTAAGGACCAAGGCTTTTCTGAAATGAAACCTGTTTGTGGACATGCCGTTTTGGTCATTTTGCCATGGCTTTATTCCACCACAATTTCCTCCATTCTGTTTAGGTGCACCCCATACAGATTTTATATTTGTTAAAGGAGAAATGAGGCTTTCTTTTGATATCCTATATGTATACATAATGCAATATATTAAATGTGAAGAAAATATTAAATTTTTTTGTTTTTACATGCAATAATTTTTTTACACAATGTGCAAGTAAAGAAAACTAACGCTAAATAGATTCACTAATTAGTCCTGATTGTTGAAATGTCTAGGATTACAATAAAAAATTATTTTTTTTTAATAAACTTTAGAAGTTATAAAATTCATGCAAAAAGTGAATTATAATTTTAAAGCTAAAACTTTTAAAATGTGGCATGCCGAGATTGCAACTTTAATAGTAGTCACAAAATCCAAAACCTCTACCCCAAAATAAATATGTAGCAAATACACCCTCTATGTAATTGAGAACATGTTGACACTTTTAATTTAAAGGGGCACCATAGTCACCAGAACAACTACAGCTTAGTGTTTGTGGTTCTGGTGAGTAGAATCATTCCCTGCAGGCATTTTTCATGCAAACACTGCTTTTTATCAGAGAAAATCCAGTGATTACATTGCCACCTCTAGTAGAGGAGGTGCTGATTGGCCCAGGTGACATTTAACCCCGTCCAGCCTCCTTGATGTCAACAAGAAGGCGGATTGGGAGCTAGGCCGGCGCAGCAGACCTGTGACGTTGGAAATAAGGTAAGTTTTGTTTGTGTTCCTTTTAACCATTTTATCACAATCCTGGGTCAAATTTAGATAATTTTGTTTGTGGATTTTATTTTGGTGAAATTCAGACCTCACATCTCCCACAACGGATAACACCACATATTTGTATTCTGCTACTGTTCTCGAGTACGATCCCCATGTATATATCTCTTCCCCCAATCTAAGCCATACTAACACTCTAATTCTGACCTATATTCCCAGTTCAAATCCTGTCAGATTTAATATTTTGCCCTCCAATCCCACCTTTTCAAGTAATTCCCTCTGTCAGTACTGATTTCCTAGTTCACACACTACAGTGGCCCCAGTACAGTGCGATTGCAGCATGAGAGCAGTGCTGGGCTGCTGCCAGAGCCCAGCACTAGTTCTGTTGCCAGGGGCAAGCAGGGAGACGTCCCCAGGGTCTGACACTGTGCCAGGCTAAGGGTGCAGTACCACTGCATTAAACGGCTGTGAGCAACGGTTATAGCTCATCTGTCAGTCTGGATCTAATAACTGTGACTTCAGCTGACAGGGGACCCCCAGATATTGCAAGCTACCTAGGGATCCTTTCTTTTTTAATCCTGGAAGCTAAGAGCAGTGAACAAAATATTTAAAGGGATATGAGTGCACTTTGAGTGCTACACATAGCTCATCTGTCAGTCTGGGGCCACATATTTCTGTTCCTTGCACATAGTGTTTTACCTTCTCACCTATGGTTAGAAATGACCAAACCTCTACATAGACGTTGGCACTCCGCTAACCAAGAGCTCTGGTATCGTAGTAATCCACAGAAAGGTCTCCAAAAGTTAAGAAATATAATATTCAAAAACAGTGTAATCTTTATGCATTACAAAAGACATGTTGGAAAAAGAAATTAGCAAAATTTGTTATACCAAAACAGAGAAAGTATCAATCCAAATGTTTGCAAGTGCCACTACTAATGTGCACTTTAAAAAGTGATATATACACACAAGTTTCAATAAGATTTTTTTGATGCCAAGTTAAGGTTCACGGACATGGCAACACTACTACAGGGTTAGCTCCTCCCATCAGGCTCATTGGATTATAAAGGCCGCATGAACCATAAAACCCCAGATCTTTTCCTGTCCACAATCCCCTGGATTTTCCTTGTGGGATATTTCATTATCCTATTTTATTTATTTTACATACATGGAACTTGTTAGTTCCTTATCCTGGGATTAGTTCAGCCTCTCTTCTCCCAGACGCTCCAGTTTATGTGCCTCTCCAAGGGTGACCCCCTGTATAACTCCCCCTAGTGACCAGCGCGTGCATGCTGCAGTGACCATTGGGTAGCAGCAAGGAACCTTGCAATGTTGGATAAATCCTTGTGGGCACTGAATTTCTGCTGAAGGGAACAGGTTCCAGACAGCTGAGGAGCTCCTACAGGGCTTGGCAGAGGTGAATTTTCATCCATGCTAGCATTTTTTTTGCGCCTCACGCAAAATGCTGTAAGTGCTTCTGTGTCAGGCAGCCGTCGGCAAATGTGACCATTAATTTAAATAGACTTCGGCTTAAAATTCAGTTAAGTTTGGTAGGAATTTGGTCAAATTTGGGTGAAATTCTTCAATTTCAATCCTGCGTTTTTCTGTTTTAAATGGTTTCTGGGTTTTTTCTATTGACTGATGGCAATCTGATGCAATTTTTTATTTTTTTTACTGCAATCTATACATTGCTTCTCTCTTCTTTTTGTGCAACAATGTACTTTCTATTTTGGGGGAGGGGTTACTTATGGTGGGTGTTTGGGTGACAAACTGAAATGTTGCTCTTTTAAACTTTGAAAATAAGTTACATTTTTTTTTTTTTTTCTAATTTGACAATTTTTATTTTCCAAAAACGTGGGTATATGGGGTACAGAAGAGAGACGGGGGGGGGAAAGTATGGCAGTACATCACATGTTCTCGCATATAGTATACATCATAACCTTCGTTACATGGTATATTACATTCCAATAACATTACAATAATTTTTCAATAACATGCTATCCCTAGTGTTAGACTTGGGCTTGTTCCCTTCCATTGGGTTCAAGCCCCGTCCTGTGCTTCGTCACTGCTTGCGTACCCTACGATTGTGACTAACTGTCATTAGCTTTTTCTTATCTCGCATGGTCTGTACTTCCCAACCTAGTTCATTCCGGGTTACCCGGCTTCTACTTGTTTGAATCTCTCCTCTAATATCCCAACGTGGAAGGGATTTGTTAAACTTGTGGGGTGGGGAGAGAAGAGTGTAGGAAGGTGGGGGGGGGAAGGAATTTGGCGAGATCTGCGTGTCCCTTTTCCTACCGGTTCTGTTCCCTATAGAGACTTTATACTCCGCTCAGGACTCTTGGCTCTTGGCCTACCCAATGTCCTATGCCTGCCTCCTCTGTCCTCCCTGGGCTCTATCCCTTGGGCCCTCTCTCTTACCCCCTGGGGTGTATCTCTTGTTTTACGGGATCCCCTACGGGGCGACTCCCTGGTTTGGGATTATTCGCTGTCTTCCTGTTCTTTGGGGGCGTATGCGGCTTCCCATTTAACTTGTGCTTCCACAAATTTGGCGCTGTTGCCATAGTTTTTCCTCGCTACCTTTTCGTAGTGTAGGTTGTTGGAGATTTGCCTTGTCAGGGCACTTTTAGTCGGTGCCTTTGTGTTTTTCCATTCCCTAGCTATTAGTGTCAGGGCCGCTATCAGTATGTGGAAAACCAATATTGCCCCAGCTCCCTGAAACTGGTCTAAGTTCATGAATAGGAGACTCAATTCCGGGGTCAATTTTATGTTGGTGTCTACTATCTCTTTAGTTGTGTCCTCTACTATCTCCCAATAGGGTCTGATCGTCCCGCACTTCCACCATATGTGGAGCATCGTGCCCTCCGACACCCCACACCTCCAGCACAGCGCTGATGTTCCCTGGTATATCTTCGCCAATCTGGTAGGCACCATGTACCATCTATAGTACACTTTCCTCATTAATTCTATGTGGGACGTGCACAATGTCTTCCCCTTATGCGCTGTTACAGCTGTCTCCCATTGGGTGTTGTCAAATTGTTTCCCCAGGTCCAGCTGCCACGCCTCGCTGAATCTGTCTAGATGTGTTGGTGTACCTACGTTCATAAGCGAGTAGCACATGGAGATAATCCCTTTCCTCTGTTTTTTGTCCATGCACGTTTTCTCCAGCCTCGTGAACTCGCCCCCCCCCTGATCTGTGAGTCTTTGGGCCCCTAGCATTGATTTAAGTTGGAGATATGGAAATATCAATTTAGAGGGCAGTTGAAATTTTTCTTGGAGGACGGGGAATGGTCTGGGGTTGTGTCCTTCTAGGAGATCCCGTACATGTGTGCATCCTCTCTTGGTCCATTCTCTGTAATCAAACGTGTTGTTGGCTATATGTAGGCTAGACAGCGGGGTTGCCGGTGACCATGGTGACATGGACACTAATGTCGATTGTGATCTATCCCAAGCCTCCAACATTGTTTTGGTGGTGGGTAGTATGTAGGGTTGTGGAGGGCGTAACCTTTTAGGTACCCATATTAGTTTCTGGAGGTCTGTTCCTTGTAACCAGTGGTTCTCTATTTCTAGCCATTGGGGGTATGAGGACTGTGTATGCATCCCTATCACTGGGGCCACCAATGTCGCTTGACAGTAGGTCTTAATACTTGGCAACGCTAGACCTCCCTGGGTGATTGGTCTGTGTAGGAATTTTGCCGCTACTCTCACTCTCTTTTGTGCCCATACAAATTTGGTGAGTATTGTTTGTATTTTGTTTAGATATGAGGACGGTAGGCCTGTCGGTATCGTTCTAAATAGATATTGTAGTTTGGGGAGAAGAGACATTTTAAATGCAGCCATCCGTCCCAGCCAAGACAGGTATTTATCTTTCCATGCTGCCAAGCTGGTCTCTAATTCTTTTTGCAGCGGCTCGTAATTGGCCTTGAAAAGTCCCCCTATTGTCTTAGTCAGTTTTATCCCTAGGAAGGTGACACTGTCTGCTCTCCAGTCCAGCTCAAATTTCTCTTTCAGCACTCCTATCACTTCAGTGGGTATACCAATTCCCATTGCCTGGGTTTTTGTTACGTTTAGTTTATAATAAGAACTTTTACCATATTCTTTTATTACACTTAGTAAGTGTGGCATCGATATTAGTGGTTGGGTCAGGGTTAGGAGCACATCGTCCGCGAATAAGTTGGTTTTGTATTCCCTGTCGCCTATGCGCACGCCATGTATAGAGTTATGGTCCCTGATCTTGGCAGCTAGCGGTTCCAGGGCTAGGACATAGAGCAGGGGCGACAGAGGGCACCCCTGTCTCGTCCCATTGGAGATGCCAAAGGGGTTCGACAGGAATCCTGCATTGAGTACTTGAGCTTTCGGCTCGCTGTACAG